GGAAATCGAGGAACACGGCTTACATGTCCCTATCCTTACTTTTGAAGGTCTATTCAGTGGCAAAAAATATTAGTTGATACAGGGTGATCAAAAATCGGATGTGATTTTGGATTTTTGATCACCCTGTATCAAATAATATGTATTTTATGTCACTGAATAGACCTTAAAAAGTTAGGATAGGGACTGTAAGCCGTTTTCCTCGATTTCCAACTGTTTGGCTACAACAGCCACCTGAATTTGAAAAAAATGTGATTTTTGAGTAGCTGTAGATCCTTTACTATTCATATTAGATAACAAGTGTGATATATCATTGAAATCAGATTATCGAGCAGATTCTAAAAATATAAAAATATACAGGGTGTTCCATTTAAAAAACATAACTTTGATTTGGCACGGCCTTATGAAACACCCTGTCACATCGTAACTAATTTTAAAATGTGAAGCTTAAAGCTGCCTACTTTTATTATAACAGATCTACAGAGCTTCCTCACACTAATCAATCACCCTGTATACTATTTTTAGCTCTCTAAATAAAATTTAAAAATTTAGTTCCCATTTATTTATTATGAAGACCATAAGGTTTGTATTTAGCTGTTTAGAATAAAAAAGTAAAAATATGTATTTTTTTGGCGTTTTTGTGTTTCATGGATAATTTTTTTCGCTCACTGATAAAAATGTTTCTTCAGTTAAACATTATTTCTAAAAGTGTTCTGGTGCGATTCGTTGTATTGTTATTATTTTGTTTAAAATGGCTCACAATAACTACAATAATGATTACACATTCGGCGAAATGACGGACATGCACTTATGTTTTGGACTCGCTTCTGGAAATGCCAATGAAGCTCGCAGACTTTATCAGGAGCGCTTTCCAAATAGGCATCTTCCATGCGCTAAGACGTTTTCTAGAATTGACGATAGACTTCGGGAAACTGGTACATTTAAGAAAAACTCTAGTAACAGTGGAAGACAAAATTATGTGAGAACTCCTGCTTTGGAAGAAGCAATTTTGGATAGGGTAGCTGAAACCCCATCGACAAGTACCAGAAAAATAGCAAATGGTAAGTAATTACTTATTTATTATTTTAGCTACCCCGTACCTTATCGTATAAAACTAGTTTTTTTACTTGTTATTGCTTCTCTTACATTTCACGACTTTTCGTATCGAAAAGAGTTGCGTTATGCAGAAAAAATCTGATTTCCCAAATCAATGGATTCTCTTTCTTAACTATTCACTACACAGATTCTCTCATTTAATTTCAGAAGTGGGAGTCGGACGTAACACGGTATGGAAAGTTTTGCGTGAACAACAATTGTACCCTTACCACATTCAAAAAGTTCAGGCACTTAAAGCTACTGATTATGAGCCGCGAGTTATCTTTTCTGAATGGTTTCTTGGAAGATGTAATCAAGATGCAATGTTTCTTAATAAAGTGCTATTTACCGATGAAGCTGGTTTCACTAGAGATGGTATAATAAATTTTCGAAATATGCATGAATGGGCTGAAGATAACCCTCACGCGGTTGTTGAACGTCACCACCAGGATAAATTTTCAATAAACGTCTGGGCTGGAGTTATTGATAATTACCTTATTGGACCATTTGTTTTGCCGAATAGGTTAAATGGAGCAGCATACAGGCTTTTTTTGGAAAATAACTTACATGAGCTTCTTGATAATATTCCGATTCAAATCAGACATAACATGTGGTTTATGCATGATGGAGCTCCACCACATTACAGCCTTGAAGCTAGACAGCACCTTAACGAAAGATTTGAGGGTAGAGTAATTGGCAGAGGTTGTCCTGTTAACTGGCCACCTCGTTCACCAGATCTAAATCCAATGGATTTTTTTGTTTGGGGTTATTTAAAATCATTGGTTTATTCCAGTCCTGTTGAAACAGTTGAAGAATTGGAAGAACGAGTTTTTCATCATTGCGAAGTTCTTAGGAATAATCCTGAAGTATTTTTTCGTGTAAGACAGTCTATGATGCGACGGTTGCGCTTGTGTGTGGAAACCAATGGTCGCCACATTGAGCATCTGCTTTAATTTTTTTTGATTTGTTTTTTTAGAATAAATATTTTTTTAAACCGTTTCTTATTATTAAATAAAAATAGTCCCACCACGACATTTGAACTACAATTATTTAGAGAGAGCTAAAAAAGTTATTTTTATTTACGAGATTCACCGAGGTAATTTAGGAACATTGAAAATTAAGCTAAAGTGGACGAATATCTTTGGATGATGTTTTCTCGGAAACGGCTGCTCCAATCGACATCAAACAAGTATTCCTTTTTGACGTAGTTTTCAATGTAGAATGTAAAAAAAAATATGGATAAGTCATTACCAAAAACACAAAAAAGTTATGAATAATCAAAATTTTCAAAAAATTCCCAAGTACACCCCTGACGAAATAATTTCTTTTTGAAGGTGTCAAAAGGTCACTATTATTGATCATATTTAACAGCCAAAATTTGGTTCTTTTATTTGTTTCCATTTTTAAGAAAATTCAAAAAATCAAAATAAAAAAAATGATTTCGAGAGGCTGTTGCTCGCTTAGGGGGCACTTTAGGACATAGGTCTATAGGAACTTTTTTTCCATTTTTTGGTTAAGGAATCTGCCTGAGAATTTTGGGACACATTTTAAAGGACACCCTGTATACAACACTTTAAATATTTATTTTTTGCTGACGATTTTAAAATGTATCAAAGCATAAAAACCGTTAGAGACTGTGTAGCTTTACAAAAAGATAATAAGTTAAAATTTAACATTAAGAAATGCTTTATACTTACAATTGACCGTAAGAGAGACAATGTTATTATATTTGACTATAAGATGGACCAACAAATTTTAACTAGACGATCCGAAATTAAAGACCTCGGTGTAAGCTACGACAATCAATTTTCGTTTGGTTCGCATATAAATAAAATTGCTCTTAGTGCTAACCGTATATTAGGGTTCATTATTAGACAAACTCAAGCTTTTTCTAATCTAAATACTATAAAATATCTTTACTTCTCACTAGTTAGGACAAAACTAGAATATGCCTCGATTATTTGGGGTCAACAACCCCAAATTTACTTAGATAAATTGGAAAAAATTCAAAACAAATTTCTTAGGTATCTTTACTACAAAAAACATCGTCATTGGCCAGACTACAATTACGTACGAATATCTATGTTACGACAAGAATTTGGAATATCCTCACTGATTAATAGACGGAAACAGTTTATGATGACATTTTTATACAAAATTTTAAATAACCAAGTAAACTCAAATGAATTACTGCTACTCATACCATTTAATGTTCCTTCTAGGCGCACTAGGTCTCCCTTTATATTCAATATATCCAATAGTACCCTAAAATCTCCTCTTTCATTTGTACTTCGACTCGCAAATAATTTTAATTCTTTGTGTAACTTTGACTGGCATGTGAGTTACAAACAGTATCAAAGAAATCTTAATGAGTACCTTAATGTTTTAAGTATTTAAATATGTATGTTGTTTCCGCTGATTGTTGTGAAGCTTTGTAGTCTTGATATTCAAACCCATTCATACAAGTAAAAATGTAAAGTGTCATATGTATGATTATATTATATATTATTATGTATATTATGTATTGTACTACTCATGTAAAAAGGCCGTAAGGCCTGTTTGAGTTTTATTAATAAATAAATAAATAAATAAATAAATAAATAAATAAATAAATAAATAAATAAATAAATAAATAAATAAATAAATAAATAAATAAATAAATAAATAAATAAATAAATAAATAAATAAATAAATAAATAAATAAATAAATAAATAAATAAATAAATAAATAAATAAATAAATAAATAAATAAATAAATAAATAAATAAATAAATAAATAAATAAATAAATAAATACACTTTTTACTACTTTTGTACAATCGTGCACCATTTTAGCTACCAGTGAACCTTTGCAATACTTATATTATACTCTTTCGTGCAAGCGTTCAGTGTTTTCGATTCTAGTGAACCTTTGAGATATTCCTTATATACCCTTTATACCTGCTTTTGTCCAATTTGTCAGTTTTTTTTTACCTATATTATTAATATCTACCTATACTTGTATGATATTGGTTCTTGATTTCAAAAGCTTTTTAATAATAAATTTATACAATTTTTTATTTTGTTTTCTTCAGATTTTACTATATCCTCAATATACTATTTTGAATATAGTGTATCCAAGGATGGACATAACTATACTTGTAAAGATATTTATTTTAAATTTTTCAAGAGGTCTTTTCCATAATTTCTCAACGTTAATCTTATTTATTTAACAAGCAAAAGAAATTATGAAGAAGTACTTTTAAATTTAAAATAAATATTTTTACAAGTATTGTTAAATCCATCCGTGGACACACTGTATAATGCTGTAGAATGAATTCACATTATAACATCTATAGAACGTTTCAGAGCAACTTTCGGGGTAAGTACCGTAAAAGTGCTAGTGTGATGTTTTCCGAACTTCAATTTTGTAACCTCTGTGAGATGTGCTATAAAAGTCTTGCCGTTGCGGACATTCGGTGGTTGCAGGGATAATAGGGTTACAGTAAAAGTACATTGCATGCGAGCTTAAAGAGCCTAAAATTGCAGCTTATTAACGTAGATGGGATGTTTTTGTGCTAGCTGGGTATTGTTACTGTGATTACGGGGTAAACAACTGTCACCAATATAAATAAATGTCAGATAAATCCGGATATTAAATTCGCGAATAATAAATATCAATAAGTAGTTTGTTGTATTTTAGTTCATTGTTGTTTTTTATTGTTTGCTATTAAATAGGTATTATAAAATTTGTCAAAAAATGTGTTATTTTTTTAAAAATAAAAAATATTCATCTAGAATAGATGAAATGAGAGCGGGAAGTGAGGGCGAGAAGTAGAGGTGTGTAATGTGATACTTCCCAACCTTCAATGACGTTAGTAATGACAACATTACATATATGGTTGTAAATAAAAAATATTATCGACTCACCTATATGGCATATTATGTGCGAAATGATTTTTAAGAGAATGGACCAAGCTGGGTCTTGTAATTCGGGTCCGTTTCTTTGGATCAGGTCTTTCAGACCTGATATGACTTCGTATGCAACAGCTGGTTGGTTGCATTTGACAGCCTGAAAGTTTTCGATAGCGTAAAATGTCTAAACTTGTATCTTATTTAATTTGACTTCAAAATATAAAAATACCCGGATCTGGAGAATTTTTATGTAAAACTTAGTATTTCAACTGATCGGAGATCGATATTTAGATTTATTTATTTGACTACATTACATTAATTTACAATGTTTGTAGCAAGTCTGAGTAAAATCGAAATTTAAAAACATATTATATATAGTACATAGACAAAAAAAAAACATTCATATGGTTTTAATTGCTTGTTAAACCGATTAGGGCCAAGATTTTTGATATCTGGTAATAGATTGTATAGGCTATAGCCCAGCGAATTTTTCTTTGACTTGGTTAAATGAAAAATGAGCTGTAAATATCTTTCAAAGTTCATTATGTAATTAAGTAATTTTTTCACATAGAGATACTAAAAAAACTACGCTCTTTCAGAATATGTAAAAACAAATACAGGGTGTCATTTAAACTTTTGAACCGGGGGTGGCTGGGGGCGGCAGATATCACGTTGGAGTGGTATCTTACACACCATTAATTTATCCCCTACTTCCTTAATGACCTTCCAAAATTTCAAGTCGATATATTTTAAAACACCAGAAATAATTCCATTTAAAGTTTTCGCGCGGACACCCGGTATAATGTTGGCAGAGGCATTATATGAATTTTTTAAACAACAGTTGACATGGTTCACGAAAACCCACACTAGCTAATAGCCTTATTACTCTTTTCTGCAACTTAAAGATCTCATCTGCACCAACAGAGTTGCCCCAGAGAATAATTCCATAGCCGATGTGGGAGTGAAACAGTCCAAAATATGTTATTTTTAGAGTTTGAAAACTTGTAATATTCTTTAACTGACGAAGGATAAAAATGGAGCTAGCCAATTTATTTCTTAGATGATACACGTGATCACGCCAAGATAGGTTACTATCTATATACACTGATAATTTTTAAAATATTTCATCTATCTTTTATTTTTTGTTGTTGATAAGGATATTTTTTATTGTCAAGTTGATAATAAGTATATTTGGCGTATTTTTTTGTAACTTGTTTATCATTTTATTACTTTTTTAGGGCCTAAAATTATTTTTCGGATTATTTTTACTACAATTTGAAATTAGTTTTCGACTTGCGACCTTCGGTATTAATTTATTTCGTCCTAAATTTAATTAATTAACGTACATTTATTGAAATAATGGCACTTTCACCAACAGATGCTGCTCGCGCCATTGCTCTTATTGAGGATGGTCGTAGTCAGTGTTATGTAACTAATCTTGGAGTATCACAAGCGAACATCCATAGAACATATAGGCGTTTTCTTGAAACTGGAAATTACACTAGAAGACCTGGTTCGGGCATGACAAGATCCACATTGCCTGGAGACGATCGTTTTTTACATCTTTTTATTCTTCGACATTGGGATGCCACTGCTGTTCAAGCAAGAAATCGACTTGAAGAAGTTCGAGAAGTGAATGTAAGTGAGAGAGCAGTAAGAAAACGCCTGAATGCAGTTGGCTTAATTGCTCGAAGGCCTGCCAATGCTCCAGAACTTCTTCCACATCATCGAGTAGCTCGTCTTCAATTTGCTCGAGAGCACCTTCATTGGAACATAAATCAATGGAGCTAAGTGCTCTTTTCTGACTAGTCTAGATTTTGCCTAAGATCACCTGATGGTCGCCAAAGGGTATGGAGAAAGGTACGCACAGTGGAATATCGTTCCACGGGTTAGTTTTAATGGTGGGTCGGTAATGGTTTGGGGAGGCATCACTACAGACTACCACACGGAGCTTGTCGTGGTGGAAGGAGGATCATTGAATGCAGATCGGTATATAAGAGAAGTTTTACAAGATCACGTCATTCAATATCAAATTAATGTTTAAATTAAGGGACAATGCTCTAAGTCGTTTCAAGCGAACTAAAAAAGAATCTCACTGGATATATTATAAAGAGTTACGAAACTTTATTAACAGAGCTGTATCTCACGAGAAAAAAGCTTATCTAGTCCACAAATTAAAAAATCTTTCAACTAAAACACTTTATAGCGAAATAAAGAAACTTAATATTTACTCTAATGATAAAAATAACGAAATTCCTAATAACTTAGCTGACGTCGATATGTTGAATAATTTTTTTATCAACTCTTCTCGGTCACAGCATAAAATTAACAAAGTTATTTTGGAAAAGTTTAACTCTAGCAGAAAAGAAGGACTTGGCAAGTTTCATTTTAGTGAAGTCAGTGAGAATGATGTGTATAAAATATTATTGTCATTAAAATCTAAAGCTATTGGTGCTGATGACATTGGATTGGACATGTTACTTTACTAACTATAAAATATTCCGTTCGTAATAAAATATTTAACTCACAACATTAACAGTTCTATCAGTACCGCAATTTTTCCATCACAATGGAAAGTAATTCCATTGGCCAAAATAAAAAAATCCAAATGAATTTAAAGATATCAGGCATATAAGTATTATTTGCACAGCTTCTAAAGCTATGGAAAAAGTTCTTTATCAACAAATAAAAACCTTCCTAGATTATTATAATATTATTCCTATTAATCAATCTGGTTTTCGCCCCAATCACAGTTGCAACACTGTCCTACTCTCAGTCATTGACGATATTATTAGAGCTATTGACCAAAATCATCTTACAGTTTTAGTCTTATTAGACTATAGTAAGGCGTTTGACACCACCTAGGTTTTAATGAAAATGCGAAATGTCTTATAGTTATCTATCTTAAAAATAGAATGCAGTAAGTTAAATATAAAGATAAATTATCTTCTTCACGAGAAATAGAAAATGGAGTCCCTCAAGGATCTATTTTGGGGCCTTTATTGTTTTACATCTATACATCTTTATTCCCAGAATCACTGAAGTATTGCAATTTTCACTAATATGCGGATGATACTCAGATTTACCTTTCATTCCCTGCTTGTAAATTTGAAGAAAGCATAGCCAAAGTAAATTATGATTTAAATTTACTTTTTAAATTGTCTAATGACTATTGCTTAGATATAAATCCCTCTAAATCTCATGTTATGCTGTTTGGCAGGAAAAAAGATAGAATTAATTACATGATCAACTAAAAATTAAAGTTAACAATGAAATATTGCCTAATACACATATCGCAAAAAACTTGGGTGTATTCCTTGATACTGATCTTGGATTTGAAAAACACATTAATAATGTAATAAAAAAATGTGTAATAAATATAAAAATGATTTACGGCAATAAAGACACCCTGGATTATCGTTCTAAAATCTTATTATGTGAATCACTTGTATTTTCTCACTTAAACTTTTGTGATTCAATCTATGGACCATGCATTACTTAATTCAATAACCAGCGTCTTCAGCGCATTCAAAATACCTGCATTAGATTAATTTATAAATTTAAAAAAAAATCAACGGATTTCTCGTAAAAGGAGTGAACTAAAATGGCTGACAGTAAGTCAAGCTCGTTTTTTGCATTCCTACTGCCTATTTCAAAAAATTTTACTATTTAAAACGCCGTCATATTTATATAACAAGATAAGGTTCAGAAGCGATGTTCATAATCTTAATATCCGTAGAAGAAATTTTGTATCAATCCCGCAACACAAGACTAAGATGTTTGAAAGCTCTTTTACTTACATATTTTATAAAACAATCAATTCTCTCCCCCCTGAACTTAACAACATATCTGTAAGTGCATTAAAGCGTAATATAAAATGTTATATATTAAATGGTGACATGGAAGTATCCTTTAAAATTTAAGATTTATCAAAAATATTTTCATTGATGCTTCGCATCAACTAATAATTATTGTAGTATTATTATTATTATTATTAGATAGGTACTATAATTAGATATTGGTATTAGTTATTATTATTTAATTAATAATTTTGTTTATCTTTTTTGTGGGATTTATTATTATAATCTTTGTTATAATTCTTTTTTTGGTGCTTTTTCATCTTGTATGATTGACGATGAATATGTACTTTTCAGTAAGTTCATATTTTTGGAAGGTTTCTATTGTATTATTCATTTTCCTTTTTTATTATTATTATTATATTCTTGATATCCGCTACAATATAATGTTGTTATGTTTTATACAATTGGCTTACTGAATAAACGTTATTATTATTATTATTATTATTCCATTTGCACCTCTAATTGGCAACAATTTTATTCTTATGCATGATAATGCTCGACCACATGTTGCCAGGGCAGTACGTCAGTATCTTACTGACGTCGGTATTGAGACAATGGAATGACCACCCCGACGCCCAGACTTAAATCCCATTGAACATGTTTGGGACATGATGGGCAGACAACTTAGATCGCGTGTACCAGCTCCAGACACCTTGGAAGAACTTAGAAATATGCTTATTGACATATGGGAACAGTTGGACCAAAATGACATAAGATACTTGGTGGAAGGGATGCACAGACGTATGGAAGCTTGTATTCGAGCCAGAGGGGGCAATACCAGTTATTAATTTAATTTTTTTGACATGTATAACTGATTTTATATGGTTATATCTGAGTATGTGTTTTAATTAAATATTGCCACTTTATTTTTCTTTTATTTTATTACAATGTTAATGACTTTTGTTTATAACGGATCCAAGCTTAAATAAGTGTTAAATAATCTTACCAATAATAAACGTTTACCAAATCCAAGCCAAAGCAAAAATAAATATACATTTTATGATTTTAAAGAAAATATTTTAGTGATTCTCTTTTTACGCCGGTCAGTGTATATACCAAGCAGTTTAACACTATCTGAACTCACTCTGGGCATATTATTAGAAAAGTAAAGACTTTGCGTTTTGTCCTCATTTAATTGAAGTTTGTTGGCCATAAACCACAATTGCGATTTAGAATCTATGTTGTCAGAAATCTTCATAAGATATGAGATATTTTTATCAGAGTAGATGTAAGACATATCATCTGCAAACAATACAAAATTATAAGGTCGTGTAAAACTAGGTAAGTCATTAATATAAATGATAAATAAGAGAGGACCAAGAACAGAGCCTTGTGGAACACCATGTTTAATTAAATTAAAGTCAGACTTGGAATTATTGTAGACTACAGTTTGATATTTTTTAAATAGGATTTAATTAATGATAATGACGAGCCTTGAACACCGTAATACCACAGCTTTTCTAATAGAATGTTGTGAGAGACACAGTCGAAAGATCACACAGTTTAATAGCTGTATATTTTCCACCTTCAAAGCCCTTGACTATGAGGTTTACAACCTCTAGAATAGCGTGAGAAGTTGACCGTCCTTTACGTAAGCCATACTGGGAATTGATAAAAAAAATTATATTTTGGATATTACGGAAATTGGACGAAAGTTATTCACTTGTGAACTATTTCCTTTTTTATGTAGTGGCATAACTTTGGAAAACTTAAAAGCTTCTGAAAAAATGCCAGTATTAAAAATTAAATTAATCAGAGTAGTAAGGGATGTTCCATTAATTTATGCCATTTCTTTAATGACAAAGCTGTCAAGTGCATTTGCTTTGCATCCAGACAACTGGAGTTTTTTAGATAAGCAATTGTATTTATAACTTCTTCATTTGTTGTTGGTAACAAAAAGAACGAACTGCAAGAGGCTGGGAAATTTCTGAAAGTTTGTAAGTCAGTGAATGAAACTGCTGGTAATGACTTTATAATATTCTTTGTGACATTAGAAAAAAACATTGTTAAACTCATTAGGAGTTAAAGAAACATCTGGAAAGCTAGTTTTAAATTTGATAATTTCAAAATTTAAAGCTCCATTTTTTTGTGTTCTTTAAATAATTATATTTTATAAATATTTTTTTTGGATCATGTGGCTTGAAAATTCTCCAGATCTGGGGAAATTGAAAATGTAAATTATACCTGTAAAAACGAAGGCAACACAGAACTAGGTGGGCAATGTAAATTCGTTAAAGGTGACAAACTCCACAGCGCATAGTGAGTATAAAAAACGGCGCCTCGCAAAAGATCCGTGTCTGATCTTAAATCTGGTTCCTGTAAAATTCGGCACATGGTGTACAAAGCAGAGTGACCCATATGGGTGCCTAAAAGATTTTTCATCACAGCCCAACTAGAACTTGCATATTCTTCTACGACCACAGTTCTGCACAGGGCTCCTATGAATTTTGGTAAAGATTCTGGAGGCATGTTACTATAAGCCACTATCGATGACATTATTTGCAAACAAGATGACACTGTCTTAGTGCTAGGGCTACAGCAATATAAGCAAATATGTCTGAAAAATTTTTAATAAGATTTACAAAAAATAGGAAGAGAATGGGTCCAAGATTGAACTCCCAAGGAACACCATAAGACAATAAAACTTACTGAATAAACCCAGCAATAACCTCATCGTCCAAGTATGCAGCATTATATCTCACTAAGTTGTCTAACATGCTCAAATATTCTTCAATTTTACCAGCTTGTGAGACGTCTGGAAGCCAATTTAACAGAAACCTACCTACTTTTTCTTCGAAATGCAGCAAAGTAATACCATTTGATGTCAGAATGTTAAGCAAGTCAAATCTTTGTCCGGTGTCTTCAGGATGGTTATGCTGGGTTATAAAGTGGAAAAATATTGCTCTCATTATTTTGTTTATGTGCATTTGACCTCTTAACAGACATTTTAGGAAGTGAAAGGCTAGATGCCTCACTTCCGTTGGGTATTGTGACCCAAATAAGTCTTCTATGGCTTTCCATAGTTTTTCTACTGCTGTCTGAAATGATTTAAAGACATTTTAAACAACGATTCTTTTTTTAACACAACCGGCTTAACTTACATTTTCTAATTTGCTTTCAGTTACTTTGGTACTGTATTCTTTCAGTAACCTTACTCTAGTATTCAAGGGCGATTCCTTACTTAAATCTTTAAGTAATTCATCGCTAATTGATAAAACATCGCTGCGGCTACCGAAACTGCCTGAACAACAACAGAAAAACATTGTATGTGGTTGTATTATCAAGTTTTTTGTTTATTGATAAAAAAAAGGACTTACCTATGCTGCCTTTATTCCGTTTAAAAATATCTTTAAGAGTGTCTTTGAAACTCTTATCTTTGGAACTCATTGTACACGTTAATTACTATAAAAACGATTGAGTTTTAGTAAAAAAGGACTATTTTACATAAAAATTTCTAATATATATGCATTTTTGACATTTAGATAACCTAAAATGTTGGTTTTTAAATTTCTTCTTCCTTTTTAAATTGTAATTTCTACTTTTTATTAGCTAGTTGTCAATAAACGGACCAGGGGTGGGAAACTGGTATGCGCAGGCCTGGGATCAATCAACCACGTCCGCGTGGCGCTGCAGTCGGGTGGTGGGGTAGGTGGTGGGAGTGTAAATGACAGGTGAATATTGATTTTTGTGGGGGTGTCATGGCGTCTTGGCTTAAACCAAACGTAAACTTTGTTTATTTATATTGGTGACTGTTGTATTCAGTTGTTTTCATTTCCAATTTGCTTAATTGATTTAGTTGACCACTGTTAATAAGCTTGTTTTTCCATTATAAATTTGTGCTTTTTCCGCTGTTATTTTGTGGTTTTTCATAAAGATGCGTAATTATAGAAAATGTGTACCGAATTGCCTTGTTGTGGACAACAAGATGCATCGCCTGCCTCACCCTACGAATTCACCCGATTTATTTGATATTTGTGCACTTGCTGTTCGTTGTCCAAGATTTAATAATAAAACAAGACTACAAATTTATTCCACCTTTGTAGTATGTCATAAACATTTTGAAGAGAAGTATAAAGTAGTTGGCTCTCGTCGAGGTCTAACACCTGAAGCATTTCCAACGCTATTCCTACCAGCAGTTCCTGGAAGAGTAGCGGATGGACTTTCCTCAAATAACATAGAAATTGAATATGTTGATCAAACACCTTCTACTTCAAGTAAAGGTTCGAAGAAGAAGCAGACTAATAATATATGTTGGACTTCTTTTCGAGAAGGAAAGTTAGTAATCTACTCATTTATTTTATACTTATACTGTGTATTTTCTGTTTCATGACATTTGGGGTTGCAAAGCTGTATCGTAGAAGAAGAAGCAGACTAATAATATATGTTGGACTTCTTTTCGAGAAGGAAAGTTAGTACTTATTTATTTTATACTTATTGCTGTGTTTGAGAATCCACATCAGATGCATTTTTTACATCTCGAGAGTTTTTTTATCCACATACCTATATATAAAACGTTTATTTAGTCAAAAAAACTATTTTTTACATGTCAATACATCTTCACGTTTAAAATATAAAAAATACATAAATATAGAATCAACATACATTTAAAATGCAATAAAAAATACATAAGATACAGTACACTTACATGTCAACTATACAAAACAATAAAAGAACAAGAAAGAGAAAAAAAACGTCAATAGGTGAACAGGTATTCATGCAGTTTTATTTTAAATATGGCCACATTTGAAGAACATTTAATATCCTCAGGCAAATTATTAAAAGCCTGTACACCTTTAAAAAACACTGAATTTTGTGTACATTTTTCTTGTTACCTGTTTAGGTTCATGAACATCCTGATTATAACTTAAAATATTTTGTAAATATACTCTGGAGATTCCTGATTTAATTTTAAATATAAAAAGCAGGGAATAGAATAGCAAATATTTTTTAACAGTCAACCACTGAAGCACATTCAACATGGAATTGATTGGTTCCAATCTGGAACAGCTCAGTATTATCCTCAGACCTCTATTCTGCAACTTTTGCAATCATTGCAACTCATTCTGGTTGAGCAAATACAGTATAGTGGCACAATAATTAAAATAAGGTAATATTAAGAGTATTATAAATTATTATTTTAGTCCATTTGCCGAGATGTGGAGAACAGCGCCTCAAATAGTTTATTTTAAATCGGACACATCTGTCCCATTACATTTACGTAAATTGAATCACGTGATCAAAGATTTACTACATCTCAGTTGCATCCGATGTGGATTCTTAAACGCTGCATATACTGTGAAATTTGTGTTTCATGACGTTTGGGGTTGCAAAGCTGTATCGTAGATGTTGGACTTATTAAAATATAAAGTATTCCTCGGACTTATAATTTTTTATTAATACATTTATTTTAATGAGATTGTACTTATACTGTCTTTCTTTTTTCACAGCTAAAGTTCTTCACAAAATGATGGACAGTGTTGTATCCTGGAATATGTAGCAGCCATCCAGCTACTTCATACATAATACAATTTTCATATACATTACATTTTTTAAATATTGGATTTGTATTATATATATTCTTTAATAAATTTATTTTTTGAATATTCTTGTTTTTTTTATCTAAAAACTGTTAGCCAAATTAAGATTTGTTCACACAAACTGCATTTTTGCTTTATTATAGCGATATTCGCTATAATAAAGCAAAAATGCAATTTGTGTGAACAAATCTTAGTTTGGCTAACAGTTTTTAATGCGGATAATTTTTACTGTCAAATTTGAATAGCCCCGCGCTTTTCTTCTTTTTATTATTTTCTCTTCTTTCATATGGCCTCTTACCAGACAAGGACTTAATTGAAAAAAAATCAACCACGTCCACCAGGTGCCGCTAAAAACTCTATCATCCTTTTTTAACATGGGAGTTACCGTTCTAAGAGTAAGTGTTCTGTGAAACGGACAACTAATCCATATAAAGCCCAAATTAAAAATGAAAAAGAAGAAGTAAAATATATTAAAAAAATAACCTTAAATTTTTGAAAAATTTTCAAAAATGAGTAAGTATGCGAAATACGTAGATTTAGTTAAACAAACCACCGAATATGCAAAGAGAATGAAAAGACTCAGTAACCGCATATTCGGAGAAGTAGTACGGCCTACAAATCCCAAATCAATGAAGGTTGTAAAACTGTTTAGTGAAGAACCAGTGCATTTGCGCAGGGAAGTGTATGCCTACTATCCGAGGCATATAGAAACTGGAAAACTAATGATGAAATTAAGATATTATGGTTTGTATAGAGATGAACATACCGATTTCAAGGAGGAAATGGATAGAATGAGAGCGTTGAGAGGAAAACCTAAACATATACGAAAGAGTAAAGCTGAACGTGAAAAAGAAGGGAAAGCTAAAGAATAGTTTTATAGATTTTAGTAGTAAACAATTTATGTATTAAATATTAAGTATAAAAATTTACTTAAATGATTAGTCTATTTCATATATTATTTATTAAAAATCATATAAAAATTACAGTTCATTTTTTTTCTTCGGTTTCTTGGTTTTTCCTGTATCACCTTTTTTCTGTTCGGCTAGACAAGCTTTATCATCATTTTTTAAAGCTCTGTCTTGACAAAGGTATTTCTTAAGAGATTCTTTACCTTGATGGTTAAAATACCAGTTTTCGATATCACTTTCATTTTCCTCTAGTAATGTTTCACACTAAAAAAAAGGTTTTGTAAAATTTCTGCAGTAAATTTTAGTGGCTAATGAATAAACGAATAGAAATAAAATGAACTTTTCTTACTTGGGTTTTTAATTTGGTAATTTCAGCACTTGGCGAGTCCCAAAGTTCATATGGTATACCTAACTCAACTTTTACACCCTTATCTACCAAACCGTGTAAGGTTTGGAATGTCTGGCTCATTCCTTTGGCAAATCTAGTGCTATCGTCTCTCTCTTTATGAATATTATACTCTAAAATTCTATTACACACACCATCCAAAGATTCTATTAATCTTAACTCGGATTTTTTATATTCCTTTTTCTTTTTGGGTTTAACATCGTCTACGGAATATCCCGTTTCTATAATGTCCGAAGATTTACCAGTTTCGTCTAATCTGGATTCTAATTCGATTGCCAGAATTTTACACACTGGAAAAAAGTTTTATAAGCATAGGTAACCTCAAAATGCATATTTGAAACGTACCTTCACATTTATTGGCGTATTTAACCCCTTGTTCTTCCTCAGGTGATGTATTAGAGTAAACGAAGGAAATTAAAACAAAAAATATTAATTTATCAACCAGTACCATGCTTTATGAACAATTATTATCCTTTATTTTAAACACTAATTTTTCTAAATCAGTAAATTCGAAGAATTGGTTAATAAAATTAAATGAAACGCATCTCACGCTCACGCAACGTTTATCTCAGTTGACCTTTAACATAAATAATCTAAAATAATTTAAAAGTTCACAAATTACTTATAAATCAAATACAATAGGTACTAAAAAACCACCTAGCTAAACACTAAACACGAACTAATTAAACATTTAACATTTTTAATTCACTGGATAATATGCAATATTTCTTTTATTATTAGATTATCAAATGTATGATAATATAATTCAATTTCCTACAATCCTGTCGATTTTTTATAAATTAATTCGGCGGGTAGGGTATATCGTGAATATGACCGAAGTTTACGTTAAAGGCCATCCAAAAAATTGGCTGACTTATAAAATACAAGATCTAAATACTCGATTACACAGTAAGAGGCCCTAAAAAAGTAAAGAAGAAATTGACAGTGACATAAATTTTGAGATTTGACAATATTTGTAAATAACCAATTTGTATAACAAAAATTTAAAAAAATGTCAGATAATAAACACGACGATATGTTATTCGAAATGCTCAAAGAATGCAAAACACTGCCAAACTTTTTAGAAGAGGTATTCGGTTTTCTTCAAAGAAGGTAAAATAATTTAATTCGTCTTTATGGAGTAACAAATTTATTGAATTTCAGGACAGATTTTTATCATGTTGCAAAAGAACCAAATTCTCCGGTCGGATTGCCAGAGGGATTAGTTGAGAAGTTAGTGCGGCATACTTTCTATAAGTTCAAACCTGTTGGTTCTGAAATAATTAGGAAGAATCAGATAAATATTACGAAAAAAGCTATTACGGAAATTAGTGAAGTGATTTCAGAAATTAAGGATGAACGGGAAGAATTCAGTTTTTCGAAATCGGAATGTTACAACGGTAGTGTTTTCGAGAATTACTGTTGGTCACAGACTGTAACGGATATCGATATTATAGTTAAAATACCCAAAAACTGTACCACTAAACATATAGATGTAAAAATATTACCAAGTAATGTACATGTAACTTTAGAAAGCGGTGAAGTTTTGCTCAAGGGTGATCTATGTAAGAAATGCAAAGCTAATGATGCAGTATGGTCCCTAGATGGTCAAAAACTGCTCATTCATTTAGACAAATGCCAAGAAATGTGGTGGAACTGTCTGGTACAATCCGAACCAGTAATAGATATTTCAAAAATAGACTGTTCAAGACCATATGAGGAGTTACCTGAAGAAGCACAAGCTAAAATTGAGGAATTACAATGGAACCAGGAGCGAAAAAAGTTAGGTTTGCCTACTTCAGATGAACTGGCAATGCATGAAACCTTGAAGAAGGCTTGGCATGCAGATGGATCGCCGTTTAATGGACCGTTTGACCCAACTCGTGTTAAATTTAATTAATAAAATGTATGATTTAATTACTTTGAGTTTTTTTCCCACATTTTAAGTCTTACATTTAAAATAAAAAATTAATGAAAATGTCCTAATTTTTTGAAATGGGAAGCATGCATGTAAAAAATATGACAAGCATGTTATCAACATGTTTTTATTCTTGCAGGAACACCAAACAAGTTCAATTTGTTTGGAACTTTGGTCTGTTGGAAGTTATTTTATACTGCACATACTCAATATGTTAGGAACTCGCTTCGAGAAGAAACCTATTAAATCCAAACTGACAATTAAAAAGAGGGTACCTATGTCTAATTTGCGGATTGGAATTTGACCGCTGCCAGGTACTATACGAGTAATAGGAGTTAATATTTCTGACAAGTAATACACATCTCAATACCTTTTTGCCAGGTGGAACCGTTTTCCCCCCCAACGCCTCCAAGGGGTACTTTGTTCTTGTCAATTTTGACAAAATCAGTGCCAGGTACTACAAAAAACCAAGTACAAGGATGAGACTTCGTACACGTAATACTTATCCCAATACCTTTTTGCCAGGTGGAATCATTTTCCCCCCGATCGGCTCCAAAGGGTACTTTACTCTTGTCAATTTTGACAAAATTAGTGCCAGGTACTATAAAAAACACGCTAGATTGCTTAAACTTCGCAAACATAATTCTTATCCCAATACCTTTTTGCCGGGTGGAACCATTTCCCCCCCCCATCGGCTCCAAAGGGTACTTTACTCCTGTCAATTTTGACAAAATTGGTGCCAGGTACTATAAAAAAACACGCTATATTGCTTAAACTTCGCACACATAATTCTTATCCCAATACCTTTTTGCCGGGTGGAACCATTTCCCCGCCCATCGGCTCCAAAGGGTACTTTACTCCTGTCAATTTTGACAAAATTGGTGCCAGGTACTATAAAAAAACACGCTAGATTGCTTAAACTTCGCACACAATTCTTATCCCAATACCTTTTTGCCAGGTGAAACCATTTTTCCCTCCATTGCCTCCAAGGGGTACTTTACTCTTGTCAATTATGACAAAATTAGTGCCAGGTACTAGAAAAAACATGCTAAATAGCTAAAACTTTGCACACGTAATTCTTAACCCAATACCTTTTTGCCAGGTGAAACCATTTTTCCCCCATCAACTCCAAGGGGTACTTTACTCTTGTCAATTTTGACAAAATTAGTGCCAGGTACTAGTAAAAGCACGCTAGATTGCTTAAACTTCGCACACATAATTCTTATCCCAATAACCTTTTGCCAGGTGGAACCATTTCTCCCCCCCATCGGCTCCAAGGGGTACTTTACTCTTGTCAATTATGACAAAATTTTAGTGCCAGGTACTAGAAAAAACACGCTAGAATCTAGATAGCTAAAACTTTGCATACGTAATTCTTAACCCAATACCTTTTTTGCCAGGTGAAACCATTTTCCCCCCCAACAACTCTAAGGGGTACTTTACTCTTGTCAATTTTGACAAAATTAGTGCCAGGTACCTACTAGAAAAAACACGCTAGATTGCTTAAACTTCGCACATATAATTATTATCCCAATACCTTTTTGCCAGGTTAAACCATTTTTGTCCCCATTACCTCCAAGGGATACTTTACTCTTGTCAACTTTGACAAAATTAGTGCCAGCTACTAGAAAAAAGAAGCTAGCTAGATAACTAAAACTTTGCACACATAATTCTTATCCCAATACCTTTTTAACAGGTGGAACCATTTTTCCCCCATCGGCTCCAAAGGGATAATAAATATATGTGCGAAGTTTAAGCAATCTAGCGTGTTTTTTATAGTACCTGGCACTAATTTTGTCAAAATTGACAAGAATAAAGTACCCTTTGGAGCCGATGGGGGAAGAATGGTCCCACCTTGCAAAAAGGTATTGGGATAAGAATTACGTGTGCAAAGTTTTAGCTATCTAGCTTGTTTTTTCTAGTACCTGGCACTCTCAATTGTCAAGAGTAAAGTACCCCTTGGAGCCGATGGGGGGAAAAATGGTTCCACCTGGCAAAAAGGTATTGGGATAAAAATTCTGTGTGCTAAGTTTTAGTTATCTAGCTTGTTTTTTCTAGTACCTGGCACTAATTTTGTCATAATTGACAAGAGTAAAGTACCCCTTGGAGGCAATGGGGGGAAAAATGGTTTTTACCTGGCAAAAAGGTATTGGGATAATAATTATATGTGCGAAGTTTAAGCAATCTAGCGAGTTTTTTATAGTACCTGGCACTAATTTTGTCAAAATTGACAAGAGTAAAGTACCCCTTGGAGGCAATGGGGGGAAAAATGGTTTCACCTGGCAAAAAAGGATTGGAATAAGTATTACGTGTACGAAGTCTCAGCCTTGTACCGCGTTTTTTTTTTAGTACCTGGCACTGATTTTGTCAAAATTGACAAGAACAAAGTACCAATGAAGGCGTTGGGGGGAAAAATGGTTCCACCTGGCAAAAAGGTATTGGGATGTATATTACTTGTCAGAAATATTAACTACTAACTATTACTCGTTTAGTACCTGGCATGCTCGAAATACGCGAATTTTTTCAAGGCCTTCCTAGTTTAGAAACAGTTTTTGAGAATCGCTATCTTTGCTTGCAGCTGCAGGGTTTCTGCAAATGGTTAAAATAGAAATACCTCGGGATTGGATAAAATAAACTAAAACACCTTATTGTAAACACATTTATTCAACATTTTTATACGAATATATATTTTTCCTGATTGAATACATATAGTATATATTTTAAACAAATACAAATATAAAATATTTATAGATGTCAACAGTAACACATATCTATATATAAGATATACGCACAAATCAGGTAAATCAATAAAAAATCGAATTCTTACGATACACTAAGAAACATGATCAAATTTAAATTGAAGAATAAAGAAAAAAGGGTAAATAACTTTTGAATGTTATGTATTTTAATTCATTATACCCAAATATGTAATAATATATAGGGCGATACATTCAAATTTCTCCTTTTCATGCAATTCTTGCAAACCGAAAGACAGCATTTTGGATTTATGTGAATAAGAATAATTTCCTTGGTATTCGGTCGTTTTTTTCTATTGTTTAGCACAGCACTACATATGTTTCAAAAAAATTTTCCTTTGACGGCATCCGAAGATGGAAAAGTTTTCCGAAACATATGTTGTGCTGTGCTAAACAACAGAAAATAAAAACGAACGAATAAAACAAGAACATTTTTATTTTTATAAAATTAATTTTGGATTTATGTCATATAATCGGAAATTATATATAATTAATTTGACAGATATACCCCAGGGGGTCAATTCTCGACTCGTAGGAATATTTTCCTATAGGAATATTTGACATTTTTATATACATCGAAAATTTATGACATTTTCCTACATATAGGAAAGTGTCACAAATTCCTATAGGAAAAGGTTCCTACAAGTCGAGAATCGACGCCCAGTTTTCACTTGGAGTGATTTATCCACGGTTTGTAGACGACACGGTGGCCTCGTTGTCCGTTGCTAAGGAAAGGTGCGACGTCACGGAAATAAAAATCGAGTTGACAAAAAAATATGCTGCGGTTCCTACATTAGTTCTTTAGAAAATCTAATATTTAATTAATATTTAGTTGTGTTTATGTTTTTATTTTTGGTCTATATACCTGTGTTAGTTTTTATAAAATCAGTAATAAGCTACAAAACGGCATTGACAAATCATGTAATGATTTCCATCAAATGTCAAATTAATTATTTTTTATTTAAATTATAAAGAAACATATTATTGTGTGAATGGTTTATTTTAAGCATTTTGTTTATATCCCGAAATATTTTGAAATTTTGGCAAGCGCCAACCGTAGTGTTGCTGTTGGCAAATTTTTTTTACTTTTTACATACAAAAATTGACAAAAATCTTTAGAAGAAATAAAGTAACTGAATGTTTTCTCCCATAAACAATTATTTGTGTCTATTTTTAATATTTATAACAGTTTGTTGTCAGTCAGTTTTATGGTAAATTGATCATTATGTTTTAATAATCATTTGTTTTCCATAGCAAATATAAATATAAAAACATAATAAAAGAGTTACCTAATTGTTGTCAGAAGCTACATTGTAAAATTTTGTCACAAATATTATTAAATAGTCTACCAGAGAGCCTGTATTACTAATATTTCAATAAAAACTATATCTGTTTATTTGTATTTTTCTGCTTTTTCAGTTTGAAGGTTGTTTAAATTTACAAAGCTTCAAGTAAACTTGTACGGAGTTTTTTTATTTGTTCACCCTTCGGATCTCCCTCACTATCCTAATCTGTCTGAAGCGTAATAAAAGTGCACTCATCCCACATTTAAAATAAAGACGATTGTGGGTCAGCTCAGTTTGATAGTGATACCGTAAATAAAGGAGCCTAAACTGAAATTAAAGGCTAATGGTAAGATTTTAGAGTATTATTTTGAAAATATCATTCATTATTATTAAATTAATTGCAGCTCTGTCTACCCTACATTTAAAAGCAGAAGACATGGTTTCTTAACAAGTATTAAACACAACAAAAAACAAGCAAAGTCAAAGAGCTTTACTAAAAGTACCTACATTATTAAAAAAAAGGGGTTTCTACAGGAAATTTTTAGTAAAAGATAGATACAAATAATTTTATAGAAGAAAACAAGGCCCCATTGGACTTCAGAAGAAACATAAAATAAATATTTATATCAGAAATAAAAAATATATTTTGTCAGTTTCTAGGATGTATGAACAGTATAATATAGTTAAAAAAAAAAAAATAAAACAACAACAACCCAGTTTTATTACAATAATCTATAAATATAGGTACCAAATTAGAGAAAAACAGTTTTATCTATTGTGTTTATAAACATATAATACACAGAGTAGATATTATATATACTTGAAGTACCTACTTAAATAAATCATCCAAGACCATATCTCAGATTTATTTTAGCAGCACACTTTTGTAAAGTTGAAATCCCCAGCAAGGGATACTTTATAGAGTATTTCTGTAATAAAATACGAAACCTTTTTCAA